TCTCAATGCCCAGCCTTAGCGCAATCTCGAAGTCTGTTTCGCTCTTAGCTTTACCAGGGACTCCATTGTCTTTACTATCGCTCGATTTGCCATTCCAAACCTTATCTCGTGATCCTGCCTCTGAGCTGTATAGGCATATAATTCGATTAAGTCGTACGGGTTGAGATTAATGAGATCATTTTCGTTGAACACGCTAATGATCCCATGGGCTCTCTCCACAGTGAACTCAATGTATCTGATAGCTCGGTTGGCGAAGGATTTTATCTTTAAGTCCATGACTCTCCTTATTCCTTCATTCAAGAAGACAACTCGAGGATCTTGAGTAGTTTGTCTGACGAAACGATGGTGTAGGAGATCCATTGATTCAGGCGATAGGATTGGAGGATTTGTTGACAGACTTTCATCACGATCATGGTACATGTATTGATGGATATTTTCCATCATTTCTGGTCCCTGGGTGGCTCTTGAGGTCTTCTCCTCATCGACTCCATCTGCTGAATAATTTCGTCCACTAGGCCTGTTGGAGGATGCCTTGAGGAAGAGGGAACATCCGCTTGCACCATTGGTTGTATTTGGGTTGTTTGGGTTGGGGTTATTATAGGTTCTAGTTGTTGGGATGATGAAGGTTGGGTTGTAGTGGGCTCTGGTTGTAAGGGTRAAGAAGGTTGGGTTATAGTAGGCTCTGGTTGTATGGGTGAAGAAGGTTGGGTTATGGTTGGTTCTGGTTGTATGGGTGAAGAAGGTTGGGTTATTATGGGCTCTGGTTGTAGAGAAATGATGAAAGGTTGAGTTGTGCGGGGTGTTGGTGAGGGGGTTAAGGGTAGGTTTATATTTGGTGTAGGAGAAAAAGTTTGATGTGTTTGTGGGGTGGTTGGTTCTTCATCGGTTGAGGAACTCAACACGATGGGATCTGGGATTGTAGCCAAGGGAACCTGGATATGCGGTTGATCATCAGAGAGTAAGGCCTCTGGTTTCCTTGCTTGGGTTTCTTGAGGTGAAGGTTGGTGTGGTGCTGGTTGCTGTGGTGCAGCGGATGTTGAAATGTATGCAGCCGCCGCCTCTTTCTCCCCCTCACGAGGACCAAGGCCTTGATCCTCGGGGTCTTGGTCGTCGTGGCGTCTTCTTTTGCTCGGGCGGCTGCTTGAGCAAGAGGCTTGAGACCTCTTCTTCTTCTTCTTGTCCTTCCTGAGGGATGTAAGATACTCCCTCAGGGCTGCCTTTCTGGTGGTCTCCTTCATTGAACGAAGGAGAGTTGATGTACGTCGTTGTTCATCGACCATCGTTTTAGTGAGAGCCCTTGTTG